TGAGATGTGGGCACACGTACCTACATATGTAGGCTGAAACAATATATATTGTAATTTATAAGCACACGGGGAAAAATGGGAACTTATAATTTATTTGGAACGCCTTAACAATTTAAAGCTTTTGATATTATTATTATATTATTTTTATATAAATATCAATTATTTTGTATCGCCTCAGTGCAACAATAGAGTCCTTTTTTATTTAATTATTTATTTTATAAATACCTTATGCGCGGGGAAAAATTTGAATTTATAATTTATTTGGATATAACACAAATAATTAACTATTTAAAGCTCTTGAAATGCTTATTATGATATCATGATATAAAAATAAATTATTTTCTATCGCTTCAGTGCAACAATAGTGTTCTTTGTTGATTAATTATTTATTTTTAATGCATTTCATTAACAAACGTAAACTGAAGCTAACTTTCGCAATCCTATGTTTTAATACCCTTGCAGACTTTGCCGAAATTACTGAAATGGAGCGGATGCCCAAAGCAACAACTATCTATAGGATATAGACGTCCGATCGGGGAGATTTTCAAACTTGATCTGCGTACACATATTTTAGGATGACTGTAAAAGTTTCAAACGGACAACCGGCCCCACGGGCATGGCTATATCGACTCCCCTAGTAAAGCTAATCACGAAATTTATATTCTTTATAGGGTCGGAAAAGTTTCCTTAACTGCTTTACAAACTTCTGACCGAAATTATAAAACCTCTGCAAGGGTAAAAAAAAAGAAGGCATACCAATTTTTTTTATTCTTCGTGTGGGATTTCTGCATGTCTTTTGTACTTTTTCATATGCGAAGGTGTCTAATTTTTTATTTGGCCAGTGGAAAATGCTTTTAATGCAATTGCACAGCTGCCAAAAACCAGAAAAAAAGGTATATCAAAGCTTTTTTTGATACTACTCCATTTTTCTACTCCCTTCATATTGCAGATACTAGATGGTTGTTAATTCATTTGCCTAATGAAATTTGAGTACCCACTTTTTGATGACATTTTTTCTCTTGCAAATTTTAAAGGAAAAGTAAAAACTCTTTGGTTTTTTGGTTTGGTTGGTTATTTTTACATGTGATGAAACCATAGTTCAACCCTCTATAACTAAAGATAGACGTATTATCGACTGATTTCCGATCCCAGCCAATATTCGAGTGAGTCACCCCTTAATATAAATATTTCCATAATCAGTTCAGCCATTCAATTAGAATCCTTATCGCTGTCGATAGACTCTTAATAAACTTCAATCAACTTGATCGTTTTATCTGCACAACGCACTCCCCAAAAAAGCTGACAAACAAAGAGGCCTTCATGCTTTATGACCATGTATGTATGTATATGCCATGAATCCCCATTTTTCCGCCCATTTCTTTCACAATTTTGGCCAATGCCTTTTTGTTTTTATTTTTGGGGTCAAAAAGTTAAGCCCCCTTTTATGGGTCAATCGGCGGAAGAAGATTCCATGGCAAGCGGGTGGGAATTCATTTACGAAAGGATGGAAATTCCGTTGGAGATTTATTGAACATCTTAATTTCGCGGAATGGTATATGGGTCAAGAATCCTTTTACCTGGGATGTATTTTTAAAACATGGAAAAAATATTCAGACCATAATAATATATGTATATTCAGAGAGGTAATCAAAATGGCACCCTATAAATCACAGGAAAATATCAAGCTGGTTTTGGTTGCTGAAAACTTCAAAGGGTTATAGGCTATAACAAAAGAGAATAAAATCCTCTCAAAATAGGGGAATTAAAAATTTTCAATTAAATCACATAACGATAGGTTTTCAAACAAAAATGAAAGGAGGGATAAGCATTCTACGGGGTATTCGGGGCGGAAAGTGAAAGCGTTAACGTAGCTGGACATCAAAAAAGCCAAACAAAAGATGGCCCAAACTGGCTAACAACAATGGGGAACTCCAGAGGAAAATAAACCAAAAATGTGGAGGTATATTATAGGTACACACATATTGATAGGTGTATAAAAACAATAGAACAGGGCGACGACGACGACAACAACAAGAGGCCGCGCCGTCGGCATCAACAACAGCTTTTAAATTTCAGTTATAAATAATGAAAAACCAACAAACAAACAGCAAACAAGCAAAATGGTTGGCGAATTTCAACCGCCAAACTGGTCGAAAAAATAAAAAAAAAAACAGGAAACATATAAAATGAACTGCATGCAGCTCAAGTGAATATCAAAATTGAATTGAAAAATGGTAAACGGAAAATCTATTGAAATAACTCCAACAAGAGTAACAATAACCAGATTAAACGTTATCACATAGGGCTAATGCTTCAATGTCAAATGAAAAATTCCAAAGAAATAAACAATGAAAATCGAAAACATTGTTTGTGTTAGCAAAGGTGAACCAACGTTTTTGTATGGGGATTGCAATTCTTATATCTACATATGAAGTGAGGGAATGAAATTGAGAATTTTGTATAGCTCTCTAAATCCTTTTTTCTATTTAACGAGACTGCTTTTTCAGATATCGTAAGTATAGAATAATTCTCAGAAATGTAGGATTTTAGAATTCCTTTAAAAACATCATTTAAAAGTCTGGGAATGTTAAATTAGAACATCATGAATTAGTTAGCTCAGACATGTCAACTTTGACTTTTATTAACAGGACCACAATTTCCTCGTTTCTTTCATTGTTTAATTTTTTTATTCGCAATGTCCATTTTACAATGTCCAGAACAACTGACAACGAAACGGCAGTGGAAGCGGACTGGAGAAAAATGAAATTAACAGGCCCACTTTCGTATCTCCCATCCAGGATTTTGTTTTTTTTTTTATCCCCCCATCTGCCATCAAAATATTTGTATATATTAGGGGGAGCAACAAAGAAAATATGTGGAGCAAAACGCCAAAGGACATGGCCGGCATTTTTGATTTTGTTTACATTTGGCATTTTTCGTATTTTTCCTTCACAGTTCGCCACCAAGTTTTCCCGGGGCAAGAGACAAGGAACGATAAAAGAAAAGTGTAGCATACATTAGAGGGTCCGAAGTGCCAGGATATCCAACGGGAAAACAGAGCAGTGGGTGGATATTTGAAACCAAAAATCCAAACACCTCAAAGGCAGTGTAGGTATTCAACTAATGTATTTGCAAAATTTGCGAATTTAAATTGTATTTACATGTACAATTGGATGTTAAGTGCACGAGTCAAAGATATAAAACACAAACCTATCTCGCAAACCTATTAATTTTCCAGACAAACTTTTCACTTAGGCGCATCTTTGTCAATAAAGATAAAATACAAAAAAAGAAAACTTCAAGCTGAGAAAACCCAAACATAAGCCCGAGCTTCAGGGAAACTTGAATGTTACAAACCAATTCCCAGGCGAAAAGCAACAATCAAATTCATATGATTCCACCAACAGAAAACCAAGACGAAAACAACGATTTCGAGACCATGAAAAATACACTTGTGACAAACAAGAAGAAAGCGAAAAGGGCGCCAAGGAAAACGGGCCAGAGGATGGGCATAAAGGGCGGCCACCAGGCAGATGTTACCCTCTTAGCAAACGCAAGGACACCGATGTCCTCGGGCCTCACCAAACTGTGTGTGTCTCGGCACCGAAAGAAACTACAGAACCATAGTTCGGACTCTAATTATTGTCTGGGGAATGTATTCGTTTCGAATTATCGTCTATCGCATAGATACTTTAGGCTCCTATCGGTATTAAAATCAATCATTTACATATTCATATTTTTGATAATAACTTGTTGATTTTTATTATCACACAAATACTCAAACAATTTTATTTAATCCATAAAATAAAATAATGCAATTGTTTCGATATATGATGGATTATATCAATCTTGCATGTAGGGATTTTAGCTAATTGTGTCTGTGTCTCGACACCGAAAGACTCTACAGAACCTGGAGTCAAGTTATTGTCTTGGGAATGAATTCCAATCGACTATCGTATCGATATTTTAGGCTCTTAACGATATTAAATCGATCATTTACATTTTCATATTTCTGATAACTTGTGGATATGTACTACCACGCATGTAATGAAATAATTATATTCATGCCATAAAATAAAAAAGTAATTAAGCCGATATATAATCGATTTAATCGATCTTGCGTCGCCGAGATCAATATATGTGGATTTTATGCTAATTGTGCATGTTGCTATAAAGCAAAAATAAAATAACACAATTGACCCGATAAATAATCGATTATATCGAATTTTCATCGACAATTACGATATATGGCGATTTTATGCCAATTAAATATGCTAATATGACCAAATCAAGGCTAATGAGTCTTGTCTCCAACTTAAAGATCCCGAAAAGCTACTGAAATGAATTCAGATGCTTTATTTGCCCAGTGTAAGCAAGCAAGATGGATGGGGCGAGTGTATGTGGAGATAAAAGGCCAAATTGTAGGCAAAGACGTGAGTTGTCTAAGCGTCTGTCTAGCACAATCAAAACAAGAAGCCGTCAACCGGGCCAACGCAATTCTAATTAACTGCCAGATACACAAGGACACTCGCACATATAAAACAACCAAGTGGGGGATGGTTGGGGGGTCTGCGTTTTTAATCCACAAATTAAATCGAAACCTCGAAAATCGAGAAAACAAAAAGCCCAACTACTAGCGACGCTAAGCATCTTCGAAGGGTTCCGAATCTCATTTTGCCAACTTTCCAAGTAAATGGCATTAAGAGGCAAGTCTACTTCAAGTGTCCTGCTTTTTGTGCCTTTCGCTCAAATGGCTGTCTATACCTTCGTATCTTTATATTTCTCGCTCATGTACACTCATGTACTCAACATTAATTGTAATCGCAATAGCATTTGTAATTGCAAATGACATAAGTAAGAGCTACAGAGCGATGATAATGATAATGATAACAACGATAACAACGGAAACAACGAAAGCAACAACACAGCAATGGCAGTGCCAACAACTTAATGACAACGAAATTGAATTTGAGCCACACACTGGTCCCAAAGCGTCTTACCTGTTAGCTGCGATGTGCTTAGATCACATGTCCTGCGTCCTTCTGGACCCTCATGATGAATGTATTTGGCCTCAAGGTTCAAAGTTCAAAGTTCAAAGTTCAATTTCAATGCGCGATCGCGATTTTAAAACTCGATTTAAAGATGTTTTCAAAATGTGGAATTACGGTTTGGTATTTCGGTTGAGAGTTCTTAACTCGATTCAATTGTCAATTCAATTTTATATAGATCTTTGATCTCTTATGAAGATCGTTTTAGCCGGTGTTTCAATAATGTCAAATGGGGTTTGTTATATTAATACAATTCTTCAATTTGATATTTTCAGGTTCAATATCTCTGTAGATCTTTGAGATCTCGATTTGTGTGTCTTTATGATAGAAGATCGCTTCAAACTTGGTAAGCCTTAGTCCGATTCTTCAGAATTTTGCTTGCTTATCTTTCTCAATCGGATCAGCTCCATCAAATATCGGGTTATGAACTTGATTCGAAATTTTTCGCTATAGTAGCGATCAAGTATGGGATGCATTTTAAGCTCTTCTTGGATTTTTCATGTAAGTTAATAATTACATTTAAATAGTGTTCTGTTTCTTAAATATTATGTTTTTTGTTTACATAATAATCAGCGTACTTTCAATAGCTTTTCTCAAGTGGTTTTGTTAAGATTAAATGGTTATATATGTGTGTTTAGAAACAGATTGTGTGGAATATGTTCTCTTAATCGATTAGATTTGTCCAAAATTTTGATTTCAATAGACAGCGATCGGGATAGGTTCAATTCTTCTTTTAATCAAGTTGATTTTATTCTACAAAGTTTAAATATATAGTTCTTGGTTTTTCTTGGATAGATATTTTTAAACAACTATATATTGAATGTTTTTTGTAATATGTTTGCATAAAGTTTGAGTAATATTTGTATATAATGATCCCGATCATAAAGATCGGCTAACTTACACTATATAGTTTTGAGATTAAATATGATAGTCACACCAATAATTTGATTAGTTATAGTGATTAAGTGTAATACTTTAATACTTGCTAGTTGACTTAAAGTTCAATGTGGATGATGGTAAGCTCAAATTTAGGGTTTCGATTTGATTTCCATTGACTTTGATTCGCCAATTCTTCGATCTCTTGATTTCCTTTTCCGAAGTTTAGCACTGGAAACAATTTCGATGTCGATGTCCAAAAATTTTTCAAAATTTTGATGATTTTCACTCGATATTTTCGTAAGTACATATGTTTCAACAGATATGTTATCTACAGCCACAGGAAAAAACAAGACAAAAATGGGTTATACACTTGAAAAAAAAACTCGGATTTGGCACTGAAAACGCTTCCTTGGCACTTCAAACACGTCAAAAAAACAAAGAATATAGAATACTCTTCAGAAACCACAGCAGTCACAATTTGCGCGCCAATTTGCAATTTGAATTTCAATTTTGGGGCAACTGCCGAAGGAGTACTGATATTTTGGCGCCCAACCGATTGGGTGGTGGGCTGCTGTGGCTGTTTGTGGTCCTGTGGGAGTGCCAACGAACCGTTTCCAAACACTTTCGTCCGATGACTGGGTGCCGACGCCGATGAGCGCCTGAATTTAAACCTTTTGCCTCGGCTCGACGAGCTCCCACTCGGAAAAGCCGACCGAGTCCAGGCGGCTCGGAAAAGCTTTGGCACACGGAGAAAAAAACGAAACAGTTTTCACACATCACTTTTTCATACCAAAATAATAAGGATGAGTTATTTTTCAGTATTAATAGATAACGAAATCATATAAACTAAAACTGTCCGTAACAAATTGATTTGAATACTTGACAAATTGGTATGATTTCCATATCAAATACAAGTTCCAGAAGTGTCAAAAATGTATAACTTATATTTATGATTTATATTTATGATTTTCATATCAAATACAAATTCAAGAAGTGTCAAAAAAATAAGTTGGCTGTAAGTATTCAATTTATTTTTTATGTTTTTTGTCGATTTAAAGTTCATGAGCTTGTCACTGATGTCAGTCTAGGATACGATCATGTTAATTTCAACAATCTTTTGTATGAAAATAGTTGATTTATTAACAACATCGACATTTTTGTGTTGGATTTCTTATGAATGTAGAGAATAGTCCTGTGAAACAATTTATCCGAATTTATATGGATTTTGAAATTTATTTCTATACAATAAGCGAAAAATTAAGAGGATATTGTATATGAAGTAATAATTGATCATCCTACAACAACCAATTGCAGTTCAAGCATCAGAATTTGAATTTTTCGTGGTAAAAGAAATTTTTACTATTACGAATATTCTTCAAGCGTGTCATATTTGGCCCAAATTTGGCTTGTTACCCAAAATTAACATTTAAAAATAAGTCAAAAAGTTAAGAACATTAAAATCCAATAAGGCGTGTGGTGGAGTTATATCCAATCGTACAATGCATGACTAAAAATTTAAAACTCTCTTTGTACCTAAAACAATTCTTATACCCAAAAAAATTTTGGCTCTCTATAAGCAAAATTAAATCAATGTCTTGATTTAAAAACACAGTACAAAATTTAATTTAATTTGTTAATTTTTTTATTATGATTTGCTTTATTATTACCCTTGCAGTTGAAACCCCTTAGTATCTTTGAAAATGAGAGTGATATATATGAGAAATAAATAGTTTCTTTCTCTGTACAACTCCCACTTAAAAAAGCGGGAGCTTCTGGGAATCCGGATGTTGGGGGCGGAAAAGCGATGCAAAAGCCACTTGTTGAAGCCAACCGAGAGCTTTGCAGTTGCCAACCGAAGGCCAAAGCTGATCGCAAAACTAGCTTTTACCAAACTAAGCGCTGTCTAAACCTAAGTGGGTTTCAAACCTAGAAAGCGTAAGGAGATTTGGAGTTTAAAAGCTACTTTTAAATATATATTTGAAACTATACAAATACTTAAAATTTGCTTAAGTCATAAATTTTGAATTTTTAAAACTATACAAATTTTGCGTATATCAGCAATCTGCTTTTACGAAAATATAAGAACAATATCTTTTAAAAACTAAATTTTATTAAATTAACTCACACTTCTAAAAATAATTATTTTTACAAACAATATGCATAAATATGCTAGAAACGTTTTTTAGAAACTTTATTGTATATATGTACATGACACTATTTCCAGACAAAACCGAAAAAATGTGTCGCGTTGCGGTTCGCTTGCCACAAGTCTTAAAACCTTAAAACCCAAAACATTTTCCAATTAAAAGAGACAAATTTCTGTTTGTGAAGCGAATTAAGTTCTTCATTAACATAGAATGTGTCTACTTATGTATGCAAACACGTACCTTTGTAGAGATTTGAATCGCAACTGCCCCGCATCCTTATCCACATCCACATCCACATCCTTATCCTCATCCACATCCACGTCCCCGCATCCCGAGGGGCACAACTCTTTTTACTTTCGCGAGTTGAATGAATGCTTTTCGTGAATGGAAAGTATGCACTGCCACCTGCGTTTTACACTGAGGAAAATAATAAAAGTAAATACAAATGAAATTAATAAAAAATAAAAAACAGCATGAGTTCCAAAGCTTATTTAAACACTTTCCCCATTATAGATTTTAAATGGGTTTATTTTGAAAAAATTAACTTAGTAAGAAAACCGTTAAGCAATATGATATTACAACTTGTTTGCAGTTTACGAATACAGTAGGTATTCATATATTTTAAACGTTAAACATATTTGGATCTATTCTTTCTTTAAGTAAATACTACAATCGGATTATATGCAAAACAATATCTTAAACATTCAATTCTAACCGGACTTTGGGTAATACAATTGTTTTTCATAAAATAATATAGTTAAAATGAATTATGAAAAATCTTTGCTCATAATCGAATATTTAGAATTCGTTTTTGCTTAGAATCCGATGACAAGTAACTAGGCAACACATGAAAAACTATTCTCTTTGGATTTAATAAGTTGAAATTATTGACTATTTAAGGGAAAAGGCAAGGCTTTCTCTCGGTGCAGCTTAGACTTAGTTTGCAGCGTGTCAATTAGCGCAATCCCTGCCCCGTGCGACTCCGACATTTCAGGATTCCAACATTCCGACATCCGTGTGCCCGCGTTAAAGGATGCCCAGTTCAGTGGCCGCCAGCCGGTCCACAGTGGGTTTTATGCGAAAAGTGTGATAAATTTTCCGGTCGATGGCTTCCGCCCGGTGGCTTACAGTGGGTCAAGTAAGTATATATCCATTGCTTTATTCACTTGCTTTATACATACATTTGGTTTGCCGCTGCTTGTGTTTTTTTTTAGTGAGTTTGAGTGAGTGTGTATGGCCGGGTGAGTTGTTAAGTAATTTGTGCAAAATTTAATTAAAACTATGTTAACCCTAGGTTGTATACACATAAGTAAAATATGTATATATACATATATATCTTGTGTTTCTACATTTATAGTTTAGTGTGTGCCTACAGTGCGTTTCAGAACCATAAGAGCATTGCATAGTTAAGTCAAAGCCATTATTTCTGAAATTTGTCTCAAGCTTCTGTGTGATAGAAACAAATATCGATTTAAGGCAGTATTTGCATGATCCCGTTGACAAGGTTAGTTCTTAAACAAAAGTATACAGAATATTTGGGAGCTTTAAACCTAAAAATTAAGTCGAATTAAGGTACTTAAGTTTCGAGTAGGGTCAACAATTATATGAACAAGTTGAATACAATTAATATGCTTTCAAAATATACATTACAATAAAAAAATATTGCATAAAACTAAATCGTGTAAATCAATTTATCTAAAGGAATTTGATCTATTAACAAGAAACGCAAATTGCGGAAATATTTAAGTAAAGTTTAAATTCCCGTTTCGAGACTTGGCTACAACATTCTTCTTATAGCTATGACACGCACTATATAAACTAGGGTGGTTCGATTTGTTAAGATATATGAATAAATAGGATTGGAGTGAAAAATAATCTGAATCCGAGTATAATCGAATATAATGTATTTTAGAACATGAACTAACCATTAACAAATTTAATTATTGTCTTGTCTGAATTTGAACAAAAATGCATGAAATATAAGACCTATGGTCCTAAGAATAAGTGTGTATCTTTTAGAAAGAATTGAGATATGGCAAAGGGATTTTAGCATTTAAAGCTTGCATATTAAACCGATCCACCCTGGAGTTAAACACTTGTGTTCGCTCTTATTGCTTTTTGCCGAAAGGGCTGCTCTATCTATCGAATACTTTGGGGTCACTAACTGGGCGGCAATTGGATTGCGGATCGCTCAGGATCAGAACATGCCGTCCGACCGGGCGACGGGTATGAGCACGATGAGAAAGATGACGAAGTTGCGCATGACCAGACGCCAGTCGCTGGGCACCGCATACGGCAGCAGGATTTGGGTGAGGCGATGCACCTCGTGCGAGGCGCACACAAAAATGAACGACGTGATGATCATGTTGAGCGTGGGGAAGCCCGGCAGCAGGACCAGAACTCCATGTCGATCGGCGGCCAGCCAAATGTGATACTGGCAGACGAACAGCTCCAGCGAGATGCGTCCAAACCAGGCGAAGAACGCAGAGTAGCGAGTGCGCAGTATGCCCGAGATATTCCTCAGCACCACATAGCCCACAATCGGGATGAAAAGGATGTACGAATGGATCTCCTCGCAGTTCTGAACGTTGCGGCAGAGGAACGAGAACGAGGTGTACACCCCGACGCCCAACAGGGCCAGCAATGTGACCGATATGGAGGTCCGCCGCGAGAACAGATTTCCATGGTTGTTGTCATCGAACACATTGTACTTCTGGGCAATGTGAAAACAGGCCGCGTAGATCATGCCGAAGGCCACTGTATACCGGTCCAGCTTCCACTGGTGCCACCACTCGTGCAGGTCATCGTCTGTGGTCACAAACAGTGCCTTCCACGGTCGCGTCACAAAGATCCGCTCGAAGAACACCTCCGACATGAAGAGCACCGTGATGCCTCCCAGACAGCCAATGCACTTGCACACCAAATACAGATAGTGCAGCGGATTGGCGTCCACCGAGGCGGATGAAATCCGTGGCGGTAGGGCGAGCACAAAGTACACCACGCACAGCCAGAAGGAGAGCAGCGGCACAAAGTAGTAGAACTGATACGGCCTGTTCATGCAGAAGCACAGCAGCACGCTCAGAAAATTGGCACGGAACATGGCCTGAAAGAAGCGCACGAACAGGGAGCCGCTGCCGCCGGTCTGCCACATGTGCGTAAAGTGTGTGTAGCCGGTGAGGAAGAAGTAGCCGGAGATCAGCAGCTTAATGTGCATGTGAATGGGCAGCACTCGTTGTGCTCCGGTCATATAGTATATCAGCACCACCAGCAGTATCCAGCCACGCAACTCGTCCGTTTGATCGCGATTCAGTACCTTGGTGAACCGTGAGTCCTCCGTGAAGAACAGTCCCAGGGCGAAGACATAGCCCACAGGTATCCAGAAGCTGAACTCCGAGTAGTATTTATTCTCCTTCATGAAGAAGTTGGTGCGATCACAGAGGTAGAAATAAGCCAGAATAAGGCCCAGCAGTGACAGCGCCACCATG